TCACAACTGCAGAATTCTGCATGACATTGCAAAAACTTCAGCAATAAGAGCTTCTTTCTTAGGAAAGAAATTTCTTACAGCAATTTTAAAGAAACAGTCACGAGGAATATGGAAGTGTAATCGATTTGGTTGTTCTGCTTATCTTCATACTGGGATTCATGATGGACTTATAGCATATCTTTCCAGGCAGAAATTATGAAACTTGTATAGTTTAAGAATTATTTTGTGCAAATTAAGCATGTCTCTCAAGTATGTGAAATTAATTTTAGTTTAGCACATGCAAATTACATTTACAGGAGATCTAATCAAGATTTAATCAATCTTAGAATAAACTCCCTTGAATGTGAAGGGAGAGAATGCGAAGATGGAAGACCAGCCCACCGAAGCATCAGTAGCACCAGAGAGAGAGACTTTAGTCCTTAGATCAAAGGAGGCTAAAATCCCAAAAAAGGAAGGTAAGATAATGAACCTGTATGAGAGGAAGGGTCAGGTGGATGAGTGGGGGAGGCATATTAAGGAGAAGATTACTCAAAAAAATTATACTACTCCGGTGGGAGAGAATTTAAAGGAGGGAAATGAGAATGTGAAGTTGGATGGGGTACAAATTTCTGATTACAGATTACATATATATGGTTTTGAAGGCAGAATGTTAATTATAGTGGGATAAAATCAGTAAATCGGAGAGAAAATGGCACTTTAAAAGTGGTAAAAATGATGGAAGAAATTAATTCCAGGTTATAATACTGTAAGTCCATCATGAAGTGGTGGTGCTGTGGGCTAAACCGCCGAAGCCTGTGCTGCGGGGTCAGAAGACCAGCAGTCGTAAGATCGAATCCATGCGACGGAGTGAGCTCCTGTCACTTTTCCCAACTCCCGCCAACCTAGCGGTTCGAAAGCATGTAAATGCGAGTAGATAAATAGGGACCACCTCGGTGGGAAGGTAACAGCGTTCCGTGTCTAAGTCGCACTGGCCATGTGACCACGGAAGATTGTCTTCGGACAAAACGCTGGCTCTATGGCTTGGAAACGGGGATGAGCACCACCCCCTAGAGTCGAACACGAGTGGACAAAAATTGTCAAGGGGAACCTTTACCTTTACCTTTATAATACTGTAAGCAATTTGGGATTCCCGGCTTATACATGGAGCTGATAAGTATTTAAAAAATTGGGAAGTTTGAACATAATAATAGAAATTATTGAATGAAAGGTACACATATATACATAAATTAAAGTAGTTAATATACTGTCAGCCATTCTGGTCATTCTTGGATTTAAATGATTGATAAGTACACATAACTATTAAATTTGAAATGTTCATGTTGAATATAATATTAGAAGTTCATGTAATTGGATAAATAAGGGTGTAGGTGTGAGAAGGGAAGCGAGGGAAAGAAGCCCCTCGCTGGAGTGCCGTCCCTTCCACCAGCTACAGAAAGAGAGGTACAGACCTTGCCCACTCCATCCCCTGTCAAAAAAGAACAAAAAGGTACAAATACCTGGGATCTAGAAGTAAAAATGTGCGGGTTAACAGTAGCCGTTCAAACAGAGGAACATTTGGCAGGAACGGGTAGGAAAAAGAGGGTGGAGATTGAGGCGGGGACAGCAGAGATCAAAAGGGAGGAGAAAGAATTACCTGCAGGTTAGGCATGGATCTGGGCACAAGATCCCTGGACCAGAGAGTGGGAAAGACTCCGGGTACCCAGGGAAGAGGTGGACTATTGGTGGAGGCAGGAGATTCCCCCGCATCCGTCTTTCTGGGGTCAAGCCAAGGCTCGTGAGTGCCGGAGGTGTCTCAGAGAGGAGAAGCAGAAGGTAGAAAGGGAAAAACAAGAAACACTGAGATGGAGAGTGGAGGAAGTGAACAGGAGGGAGGATCAACAAGACCATGGACCCTATTTCCTGCCACCTGAGATGTTGATTTGGATGGATTGGGGAGGACGAGGCCATTCCCTTATTGGAAGGAGAGGACACTGAGAATCTGAAAGACGATCCCATCCATGATTGGCCGGGACCCTGGAATCCAGAAGAGACAACCCCTTTTTGGTTGAATCGAAAGAACCCTTGTTGGGCCCGTTGGCGACAAGAGAAATGTTATGGGACAATTTTGTTGACAAAGAGTTCTTGTTGAATACTCCAATAAACCTTCCCCCTGTTGCAAAGTTATCTAAGCCTAAGGATGTTTTTGTGGAGACCCAGTTTCAAAAAATCGAACCCTCATGGGAGGAAAAAGAATCTAGAAATTTATTTTTTGTTGAATGACTATATTAAGATATATTGTTAGCAACTTTGGACTTTCATCTATATAGATAATAGATAAGCATATACAACTCTTAAACTAGAATGCTTCATGCTAAATACAATAATAGAAATTGTTGAGTGGAAGACGAATATAGGCCTAAGATTATACTTCAGATAATGTATGTATGCTAATCACTATAAATCAGGAAGGGCTGTAGATCACTGATGATATGTATGAGTGGCTTCTGTTTGGAACAGTCCATTTGCTAGTGGTCCATGTGCTAATTCCACATACCAACTACAACATAAATGCATGCAGTGGTCTAGACTTTTTATTTTTTCTG